ACTCCTTATCGGGAGTTGAACACGGTTCTACCCCTTGAACTCCCGACGTTGTAACCACACAGCTAGACATTTTTAACAGCAAATGTAATAAATTTAGCAACGACGCGCTGGCTTATGGAAATATGGAGAACAAAGTAACGGACTCTTTCCATGCCAGTGGTTTATCAGGCATATGATGGTAATTTAAATAGTACAACAATTTTAATTCACACCAAACAAAAGAGATACGGGAGTTCCCGGAAAAGTCCAATATTCTCTGGGTGTTATGAGTTGAAATGAACGACAAAGCTATAATTTGATGAGACAATAGCAAGAAAACGCTTGCTTTCCCTGGCACAAAAATGAAACTGATCTCTGTCAGCCCCGACCGCATCAAAGACACATACTAACCCTACCCCCAACCCATAACACCTCTAGAATATTGGACTTTCCCGGGAACTCCCGAATTTCCTCTGTTTGGGGTTAATTACAAATGAAACACTAACAAAGTACCTTTTCCCGCCTATTTAGGCGTATTGGGCATATAGGGATAGAGCTATATTTTAGAGACCAGTCGGCACTCTGTGGTTAAAGTGGTACAACATTACTTTTGTCGTCGTTACTTACCAGTAACAGTACTTATGAGATGTCTGAGAAGGGCTGTAGGAGTGACCATAAGAGATAAGATCAGGAATTAGATCATACGAGAACAAGTCGGCACAGAACCTATTCTGGATTACATACAAAGACAGCAAGTGAAATGGTTTGCCCACTTGGAGAAAATGCCTTGTGACACCATACCATACAAAGCATACATGGAAAGAGAAGAAGGACGTAGAGCACCGGGTAGACCAAGAACAAGATGGAAGGATAACATCAGAGAAACTCTACAACAGCACGATGTGCCTATGGTCGAGGCATCCAGAAGAGCTAGAAACAGAACCTTATATCTCCCTCGACACCCACAGCGGTAAAAGAGGAAGTGAAGAAGAAGAAGAAGAAGAAGAAGACTTACCAGTACTCCACCTGGTGCCCAATCACGGCTGGTCAACCACCTGGGCGAAGGTCATTTTGGGAAAAAGTCCAAGACTGAAGTCCGGAGGTAGACGAATAACCAGAACTTTCCGCCAGTGTTTACAGCTTGTGAGCGCGAAGAAAAAGAATATTGTGAGCAATAATCTGCAATGCGTGCGTGTTTTCCTCCTCCGGGAGGTTAACTAAAGGTTAACCACCCTGAAATAATAACATCTCAGTCTGGATGGCAGCCCAGCAGTGTTACCCCATATACCCAGTTCAGCCTCTGAAGAAGTCAGAATGAGGACACACGTAAAGGTCACACCAGCCTGGTGTAATTTGCCGTCTAGTATAGATGAGGAATAGGTACAGTCAGAATCTGCCATCAGAGACGATGAAGAACTATGAAAACATTTCACGACATGAAAGTGGTCTTCATAAAGGCAAAAACCTTACTACACTTTGTGTCAGCTGATGCGGGTGTTCAAGGGAGCGAGGTATAGACTATCTGGTACAATATTTATAACCTACCCCAAACACGAAAATCCGTAGGGATTCCACAGCTGACTTGACAGTCCACTATTTCAAGGGGTGCAAGTGTTTCAGTGATATATCCGCCTTATAAATGAAAGGTGCTGCTACCTACTACACTGCAACCTTTACCTGCTACACCGTCACTTTTTCCTGCTGCATTGTAGTCTTTGGCTGCTGAGAAGCAGCTTCTGGTGTATGTCACGCCGCCGTAAATGTTTCTTTTCTGGCTTGCTGTAGAGGTTTGTCTACGAAATGTTATCGTCCAACCGCACCAGGACCATACAACGATCGACCAACACCCGCTGACGCAAATTGCCACCAATCCGGTGAGGATCACCTGGGCACAAGTTCCAGAAACCCCGTTAAACCGTTGGGTTATATTAGGGTCCCGGCACAGCCGGAATGGGTCTTTAAAATAACGAAAAACTGCGTCCCACACTAGGACCGGTGTTAGTTCGACGTTCGTTTCCCCACATAGAGTGGGTCACTTTTCATTCACAAGTTTGTTGGGCTGGTCGACTTACTTGAAGATTACGGGAGTGTCCAGCTCTGTTCTTTTGTTTCTGCGTTGTTTTCCAGTTATGTTTTCATTTCCAGAAAGATAATGCCTGTGACATAGGTTGCAGTACTCTCTAGGGGAGTTGTCTCAGACAGTTTCTCCATGTTTTTAAAAGTGCTGGCGTGCTGAAATATACAACAGGAGATATCAACGGCATTGCTGAACATCCCCGTAACCGTGCGGGAAGGTTACAGGGCTCAGGAACTATCAATCAGAAGTGAGCTAGTGTGTTTATGGGCTGGTCTGGAGAGACTAACGTAGAACTAACCGGGACGGGAATGCTACCGTTAATCTGTTTGCTAGGAACCCCGCTATAGGCATTACTTTTTTCTTTTCTTTTTTAGCCTTTTTGAAGTTCAGAGAGATGCACCCTGTTCCGTTCTCCCAGTGGTGTTTATTGGTTGCTTTAATAATATCCTACCCCGAACAGGGGAAATCCACAGGTCCCGGGACAGTCTAATATTTCAGGGGGTTGTAGATAGGCTGCATGCGGTCGTGGGACTTAGACTGCTTGCAGTCGTGGGACCTAGGCTGCACTTCTCTCGTGGGACGTAGGTGGGTTGGGGTTAGGACTAGTTCTAGATTTGCTGGTGTCGTTAACAGTGTCAGAAAGCAGAGAAACTCAGCCTTACAACCCTCTAAAATGTTGGACTGTCCTGTGACGTCATCTGGAGTTAGGCTATTGATAAATAACCGTTTATTGGTTACTCCCATTATGTTGTATGTTATTAAATATTGTTCTGGCTCATACATAGAATAATTATGATTTGCTTGTGTGACCTGTGTAACAGGAATATTTGTAATAGGATTTTTTTTTTTAATCGGGAAAACCCTAAATTGCAAAAGTTTTTACAAGAAAGTAAGTTTATTGAAAATATATTTAAGCATACATTATTATTTGTAGTCACACTGTAATATAAAACTGTATTTTCTGACGCTGTGACAGTTCTTGGAATTAATTCTTAGTAATCTAAAGCAGCGGCTCTCAGACTTTTTTTTCGCTGCGGTACCCTTATCTGTCTAAGAAAATGTCGCGTAACCTTAAAGAAGTTGAAAACTTGGAGAAAAAAAGAAAAAAAGGTGCAAATTTAATATTCACCTGTCTTTAATGCGAAGAATTAAACTGTTTGGATGCATTTTGCATTATATTCTTTTTATTTTTAGAAATTCTATCCTTCATGTATGACCCTGCCTGAAGAGACAAAGAACTGCGTTTAAAGATTTCTTATCCTTTATGTACTAAATCAGAATGATTGCATTCCAGGTGTCTGTAATTTAGACAGAATCAAGCAGCCGTTAGCAACAACTTATATGACAGATGACGCATTGTCCTTCCAGTGCTTGTTCGTTCCCAATCGAAACAAAGACAAACAAAGCAAGGTAGCTAGAATACTATTTACTTAGTTTTTCTCGGATTTTCTTTTTGTCATAAGTTTCCTTTCCGCAAAATGAGGCAGACCAACTTGGATGGCTTAGGCTCGCAGGTGTCTTCTGAGACAATATACCATAACTTTACCTATAGACTGCACCTTAACGAATTCAGGTAGAGGATCGGTTGCAGCTCGATATAAATACAAGGACGATTCTTCAGTAACGGTTGACATTGTATGCAGTATGAAACACGACTGAGTGTGAAACAAACAATAAACTCTTTGTGACAGTGGCGAGGGAAGACAACTTAAACTCTTAAGTATCTGCATAACTTTTTTTTAAAATTTCACCAATGTTTAACCAACTTTTCTTGATTACTGCCGCGACACCCCTGGCATACGCTCACGGCATCCCACGGTGCCGCGGCACCAAGTTTGAGAGCCTCTGATATAAAGTTGAAGAGGCCACGTAAACACAGTTTTTCCCCCTTGGTTACCAAACAAGCTGGTGTGATCGTTCGCATTGAAAAACAGATTTCATTGCTTGGCCACATAAACAATGCTTTCCCCCTTGGTTACTAAACAAGCTGGTGTGATCGTTCGCATAGAAAATAGATTTCATTGTTTGACATTCAACAAATAGACGGGCTTCTACTTGATTAACACCATCTGACAACAGTTGCAAGTTGTGTTGGAAACATACATGTGTTTTAAACGGTAAAGTACGATTCTTGGTATTGGACATTGACTTATTAATTTTCTTTTTAAACCAATCATAAACCTTGATGGTAAGTGTTGTCAACACCACCTTGCCGACTTTACTCCTTAACATGGTAACGGGTACTTATTTTCGAATGGGTCAACGTAAGTCATTTCTGAGAAGGGAAACAAAATGCACATTTTAAATCAGGATCTTCGGACCGACAGGTGCAATGTGCAGGCTCTTGGCCACCGCGGCTCCTTCCTCATTATTAGCTACATGTATTGTTTACTTCTTTTTATCAGCCTTTGTATTGTTTTTTGTTGTTGTTGTTCCCTTTTAGCTTTTTTTTCATTTTTCATTTTCACTCCTGAGTCGCCTCCACCACCCCTCCCTTTTTTCCACCCTCCCTTTTATCCCAACCGTGTACTTTGAGAACATATATTATTCAAGACCTGACAAAGAGCCAAAAAATAATCGCTGAACATTTTCTACGTCTTCAGACGTAGTGGACCTTTAGTGCTAGACCTATATTTTATAAACCAATTGGTACTCAGTGGGTGATGTGGTCAAGATCATTTCGACGGCATGGAAGTCCCCATGACTTTACCTGGTACTCGTTCAAGCCGAGTCGACCTGAGAGCTACGGTCATTTCTTTTAAAGTCCGGTTCCGTTAGGACTCAAACTCACGATCTTCACATCCACATGTGCGCCATTTGTCTAGTCGCTACACCACGACGGTTCCCTTGCTAGCTATGTTGTGCTTTCTTTTTACAATCAGCGACACTGCTTATTGAACATTTCTATGCTGACCTAACTATACGTTATATCATTATACAGGTAATGATGGCAAACAGAAGCTTAGACATCTTGCTGGTGGGAAAAACAGGACATGGAAAGAGTGAGACAGCCAACTCAATTGTGGGATACAAGGCTTTTAAAAGTTATGTGAGTTTCGGGTCAGGCACGAGATCTGCCCAGTTTGAATATGCAGAGTTCGATGGAAGGATTCTGAAAATTGTGGACGGTCCTGGAGTTGGCGATAACCGTCCAGACACGGAGGATGCGGTCAAGCTAGTTGTTGATGCCATGTCATTTGCTGTAGCTGCTAATCCAGACGGATATCATGCCATTGTGATAGTGGTTAGCTTTGGAATTCGTTTTACCAAGGAGGAGTCTGAAACAATTCGGCTGCTTAAAGACATTTTTGGTGCAAATTTCATCAGAGATCATGGTATTTTGTTGATGACACACGGAGACAATTTTCTCACCAGGGACGAAGACAGTACGGAAACATTTGAAGAATGGATTCTTAAAGAGAAAGGGGAAATTCAGGATCTGATTAAGGAATGCAAGGGAAGAGTTATACTTTTCAACAACAAAGCAGATGAAAATGGAAAAAAAGAACAAACCCGAAAATTGTTGGCTATAGTAGATAAACTTGCCGCGAATGGTCAACGTTACACAAGTGCCATTTTCAACAAGGGAAAGGAGACGCGGGATCGACTTCTCAAAGAATCCAAAAAGATACAGTTGTGTGAGGAATCACTAATGGAATGTGGTCTTGTCACACAAGAACTTGCTCGAATGCGTTATGATGATCCTAAAGAAACTCTAGGCAAGCTTCGAAGAATGCCCACTAGAACAGACACACTGAGACGGAGCATCAGAGAACAGGACCAGGGTACTAAACAGTTGAGTGGGGCAATAATGTTAGCTGAACAACTGCATGCAGTCGTTAACGAACGAACAAAGGATGCTGAAGAAATTCTTAAAATTAAAGAGCAATTGACACAGGTGAAAACTCAAATGAGAGACCTTAGTTTGGAGGCTGCAAAGAAAATGAATGAAAAACAGATTAAACAAGAGAGAGATAAGGAGCCGCAGATTGATAGAGAAGAAGAAGAAGAGACCAAGAGGGAGCTTGAGAAAAATAACAAACACCTATTCGAAAAGAATCAAAAGCAACTGGACAAAATACAGTCCGCATATCAAGATGTAAAACAAGAAGATTCCTGGACTTGGGGTGATGTAGCAAGTGCTCTTGTGGTCCCAACAATATCTTTAGTGAAATGGTGGTGGCATGGTTAGTAAACTGCCTTTAAGTATCTGCGGAACTTCAGTGAGAGCTAGGAAAATTATGTTATTTTTTCCCAGTAATAAAAAAACCGAATTAGTGACCACACCATTCAAATATTGTTAATTTAAATAAAGCATAAGAGCATACATATATAAAACAGGCATCTGAATTTAAATATCTTGGAACCACATTCACTGAAGAGGGTAAATTGTATGAAGAGATTAACGTCAGATGTAGTAAAGCAGGCCAAGTATGGGGACAGCGTAAGGCAATCCCAGTCAGCACAAAGTAACATCTTACACAAAGCATATTCATTCCCACCCTATGCTATCAGTGCCAGACGTGGTCACTCACAACAAAACGTAAACGAAAATTAGTAACCATGGAAATTAGGTGTCTTAGGAAGACTAAGGAGTGACCAGAAGAGATGAAATCAAAAATGAGTTCATACGAGATAAAGTCGGCACAGAATTAATTCTAAATTACATATAAAACAGCAGATCAAATGGGTTGCTCACTTGGAGAGAATGCCTTCTGATTCTATACCATACAAGGCATATAAGAGAAAAGAAAGAGAAGGTCGTAGAGAAAGAGGTAGACCAAGAACAAGATGGGAAGATAACATCAGAGAAACTCTACAGCACTACGATGTGTCCATGGTCGAAGCAGCCAGAAGAGCACGAAGCAGAACCTTATATCTCCCTCGACACCCGAAGCAGTAAAAGAGGACGTAAAGAAGAAGAATAGGACTACACCAAGATTCTTATCTACAGTATCCAGATGACGACAGAGCTTGGCCATGGAGACGAATGTAATTTAACTGGACAATTATCTCTCCACCCCTCCCCCTGCCTTGCGAATTATACTTGGTTAGAATTTTCTCATTGCAAAATCTCTCTGTGTTGCTGTGGATCTTTCTTTACATTAAATAGGTAAATATTTACAGAAAAGTTGTCGAAAACAAAAGTGTGATATCAACTACTGCTACCACATAGCACAAACAACATCAAAGCCATAACCATTACTACAACAGCTCTGCCATCAACATCACTATCACTACAAACAATATGGGAGCAGCGGGAGTGTAGTGGCTAGATGCCCACCTGCCAGCCCAGAAGTCTTGGATTAGAATTCAATGCGACCTTGGCTCTCATGTCGACCCCGCCTAAAAAAGGTTACCGGCCAATGTACGCGGAATTACTTAAATACATTTTTAAAGAGAAAGAGAGAGAGAGAGAGAGAGAGAGAGAGAGAGAGAGAGAGAGAGAGAGAGAGAGAGAGAGAGAGAGAGAGAGAGAGAGAGAGAGAGAGAGAGAGAGAGAGAGCGATAATTGAAACACTTTGACATAAGAATAAGAAGTGGGCAGCGATACAAGTGGGAGGACAACGTCAAGAGATGGACGGGCAGCAGTCACAGAGAATTTACAACCAGGGCAAGAAACAGGGTGTTGGAGATCCATTGCAGCCAACCCTCACTGGGAAGACGGCACCTGACCGATCGATTATATGAACTAGGAATCAAGGCGACAAGTAGGGCTTTTATAACATCAGCCATCTAGTTCCCATTGCTATATAAATATGACTTTAGTATATGACCGATTCTCCACTGGATAAAAAGGGCCTTTTCCTAATTTTACTTATAAGCAACATCGCTGTTAACATTAGAAATATCACGAAAACAGTCGCCAACACTATACCCATCATCTCAAAACTGCAGCAGTCTCTATAGCTAATACCACAGTCACTATCACACACAGCCCACTGAAAACCCAATGGCTAACATCACCACTACCACTACCACCTCCACAAAAACATCTTAATTTGTTATGCTAATATTAGACTAAACTATATGCCGCCGCAAAATAGAATCCTCACCTGCACGGTGGTGGCGACAGCACTAGCCATGCGGCCGTAAATCCTCAGACTAAAAGACCCCCCTTCTCTGCCTACACCACAAAAGCTGATAAAAGAAAGGCAGTAATTGTTTTTTATATGCCGTCAGAAGCATGTCCTTTGCAAAACCTTCCTCCCATAAATCAACCCTCCGGAAAACTTCTCGATCACGAGCAAGATGTCCCGATTCCGAAACACCCATCCTGAGATCATTCGCCACATCTTGCACTCATCTTCTCTTTGGCCGTCCACTTCCTCTCTTCCAAGGCATATAGTAAAGTAAAGATCCCTTTTCACGCCTTTCGGCGCATCGGGCATATGGGCAGAGCGTCCCATATTTTTACAGACCATCAGCACTCTGTGGGTAATGTGGTCAGCATTACGCCGGCTGTCTTCACTTTCCCAGGACAGCCCATCCTGGTACCCATTTTAGGCTGGGTCGACCTGCGACGTCCCATACCACGACAAAAATCCACGCAGCCTGCAGTGCGTTTCGATCGCGGTATGCTGGCTCACGAGTCGGACTCGCAACGCCTTAGCCACGGACGCCGCCTTCCAAGGCATATACCCATCCATTATTGTTCTTTCCAAACCTTTGTGACGTTTCAAGTGATTAAAAAAGATTTCAATTTTCTATGTTTTATCGTCTTTAATTGCCAACCGTCCTCAGTATTCAGTTCTTGAAGTATGGATGCATTTGTTCTTTTCTTTACCCATGATATTCTTAGTTATGCTAAAATTCACACTTTCTGGTTACACACATTTCGTTATTTGAAAATATACTCTTGGTATATTTTTCTTATTTCGTCATTTAATTAATTTTTTTTTTGGGGGGGGGGGGGGGGGCAACTAAAAATAGTTTTGTAAGTTAGGTACAGAAAACAGGAAGCCGTTTGGGCCCAGTAGTTATCATGCTTGCCTCTAGGCCTTAGGATAATGGATTAGAATGAACATTATTTTTAATATGTTGAGAAGTGGTCAGGCGTACTCGTTCAACATTCTGCCTTTTTGGCCCCACTCATTTCCTAAATAAGTTAATTCGTGCACCTTTTAACATAGTTAATTAACATTATCGATAATATTGAATTTTAATTTTAAACGATGGAATATGCTTTAATTATGTCTATATATCTGAACAGTTCTTGTTAAAATTCATAGGAGTATATTAAGTTTAAGATTAAGAGAATACACGCCTTTGCATTTGATTTTATCCTACGTGGCTCGGTCTCTCTCCGCAGAACGGAGAAGGCCGCATAGATAACGAGCTCCGTAGCTCCAGCGACGATCCCTAGAGATCTCCATAAAAAACTGTATTCGTGAACTAAATTGGACAGCAGTGAAACGAACCCACGACCTTCAGTGCACTGGCACACGGCTTGATCACATCGACATGGTTTTAAATGACTTCGCTTCCTACGTCGGCAAAGCGTGAAATAATGGGTGCAAGGAATCGTTTTTTTTTTTTTTTGTAGTCTACCAGTATGATACCATATCTTCCACAGAATGTAGGTATGGTCAACATACACAGCTGAACAGCAACTGTCCGGCATTCACGTACATTTGCTCTCCGCCTGGGTATATAGACCTCAGAACCATGCAATATTGCTCTAGGTATTACCACATGGTTAAGTAATTTCAATAGCGTTTCTCAGTGTCTATATAAGGAAGATTGTAGAACTTAAAGCACCAGGTACTGAAGGACCTATCAATATGTTTTATCAACCAAATGTCATTATTATGTTATATTTGTTTTTCAAGTTTACGGTTAATGTTAACTTCTCCTAACTTTTGCACTGATTAATTTTTGCTAAGCATTGTGCTTTAACACTGATTGTGATAGAGGTGCCAATAAAATGAAGCTTATTTTATTTATTATTTACATTAGATGCTTTCCCAATATCTCCAACAGGATGACGTCACAGGACAGTCCAATATGTTTAAGGGTGGTAAGAGCGGGTTTTCCTGCTTTCTGATGCTTTTAACCACCCTAACCATCTAGAACTGGCCTAATCCCAATCCACTTACTTCTAACGAGAGAGTGCAGCCTAGCTCCCACGTCTGCACACAGCCTAGGTCCCACGACTGCATGCAGCCTATCTACCACCCCCCTAAATTTGTGACTGTTTTTTTTCTAGGATTGGTTGTGAATTTACAGCCAATATTGCTGCCAAAACGCATTGCTTCTTATATATATATATATATACATGTGTGTGTGTGTGTATCCTTTTTCATGAAAATAAACAAGATTCTTGCTACTCATCAGTAGGCGTCATTGTGTTGTTATTCTGCATGTCTACAGAAAAGACTCATCATCATCATCATCATCATCATCATCATCATCATCATCATCATCATCACTATCATCATTATCATTAACATCATTATTATCATCATCATTATCATCATCATTATCATCATCAGCATCATTAACATCATTAAAATCATCATTTTCATTATGCCCCCTGCCGATAAACATAGGCTGTAATAATTCCTCATCTCAAGCGACCACCATCATCAGGTGTTAAGTTCCTGCCCCGCATTTGGCACGTCGTCAAATCCTCCATGTATCTCTTTGTCTTTCCTATGCTATCTTCCATTCCCGTTTGCGAGATTCAACCCCCCCCCCCCCCCCCCCCCCTCTCTCGTACATATAGAAAGCACATCTTGATTGTACTTCAGATCTCAACATCAAACCAAACTAGCTCATACACAACATCATATGTCAGAATCTTAAATACTTTTTTGGGGTGTTTGTTTAGTGGTTTAGATTGACAAGTGTTGGGCGACATTTGACTAAGAAGTGGTACAGATCCAAATGTCAAGTTTGGTTTAATTGAGCAATAAAAACATGAATGATAATAAATAATTATATAGTATTACTATTAAAATGTGCAAAAAAGCAACAACACAAATTATTATATCTGAAATAATGCCATGACCCTGTTGCGAGGAGGGCGCACACCAGGAAGGAAATGAGAATGAAGGAAGAAATGTCTGCAGAAAGAATGAGAGTTAGGCGTCTGAGAAGAAACAAACTAAACACAAATGTCGACAACACAGGTCCTGAAATCCCATGCTATAATTGTGGAAGACTTGTCTTAACGCGGACAATTCTTGCTATTCATTCTCGCCATAGCCATGGGCTGAGAGTCCCATGACTCCTCATAGCGCAATATAACACTATCGTCTAGAAAGACGGAAAAGGAATCAACAAAAATTGGTAGGGATCAACCAAAAGACGCACCAGGCAGGCAAAGTTGGGAAAGGTTGACAATCTTTCTGGTAAGTTATGACAAGGTATATGTTCCACCAAAGAACTTATATCTAAATGATAGTGGCGATGATTACATGTTGTTTTCCTTGAAATGGTTGAATATTACGATTTTTTTTTTCTCTCGCAAAGTACAGACTAACAGACAGGGACCCTGACACATTGAAACCCCCTCCCCCACTATGTTAAAGGATGGGAAAGCTGAGCGCACTCCCTACCCCCTTTTCTGCTTTTTATAATAACGTCCCCACCTGAAGAACAAAAAAAAAAAAAAAAAAACATTTTCCCTGCAAAACAAGGCACTTAAACAAAATGTAACGCCCCTCCCCCATCCCTAAACCCCCCCCCCCCCTCCCATACAGTGTTTTCTTTGTGTCAGTGCCCCTGCCGCACATGTCAAATTGCAGACCATGACTTAAACTTTAGCCCAAAGAAAAAGTGAAAGTTATCATTGCTGGCATTAAATATATTTAAGGAACTGGCTCAACCCTTGCTTAATTGCACATAATGATGATGGCTATAAGAGTGTTATTATTATTATTGCACAGTTCAGCAAAGCGTAAATCCTTTCAGGTTCCACTGCCACTAGAATTTTATTGGAGGCATTTGGGCTAAAGGGGATCAAGTGTGGTTTATATGTGCAATAATAATATAAATTATAATAATTATTTTTATATTATTATTATTATTTTGTGTTAATGGCACATACAAATTAAGATATTATATTATATATATATATTAAGAAATATATGAAGTGTAAAAAAACAAATTCTTAAAAAAGAGAACGTCTATATTTGGTAGTGTCGATACTTCAACGTTACGAGGGGGGGGGGTGGGGGGGGGGGGGGGAGGGCCTCAAAGGAACTTAGCTCCCAGGTTCTGGCGCCTAGGGACCACATTAGCAATTCAGTTAAGTATTGGTCTGTACAAAAGTGCATCTAGCACCATACACACAATACGCCAATGCCGCGGGGTAGTTCCTTAACTACTTTTACATTCTTTGTAGGTACATCGTGTGCTTAAAGAAATATATCCGAATCTCGGCGGACAGACATAACACCGTAACTGATCGAATACGTCCAGATAACCAGTAATTTGTGTCACCAACAAACCACGACTAATGAAACATGCACTGAGACAACCTCGTTTACCCAATCCGTCCACAGAACTAGGAAGCCTGTCGAACCATTTTATGACTTTGATGGAAAGCATTCTGTGAGTTTGATCAGTTTCTGTCAATTGTGTCTCCACAAATAGCCCTCTTGTGGAGAAAATTAGATGTCCGTTCATGAACATTTCTGTTGCCAGCGACGGCTTTAAAGTGGTTAAGACATTCCTGAAGAAGAGACATGATCATATGAGAGCCTAACAAGTTGGAAGTAAGGGTGTATAGATTTTGGATGCGTGCACTATTTTTATGTTTACCGTATCGAAACAAGTGCATTCGTGTCTTGAGTTCAAAAAGGAGCTGTGTTACTGTTTTCGTGTAGGAAAACGCCGAAGTTATATCTTTTGTTCAATCTGTTTTTAAATTGCAATAGTTAGTGAAACGGCTTAACCAAATATAACTATTTTGGTGATACTGATATTTAAATTTGCAAAATATATTTTTAAGGAAAGGCAAGCCAAAAATCGATTTATTGCGTTCAACAGATGACGAATTGTCATGTTTTTAAATATATAATGTTATGTCCCGATAACTTTTCATACAAACTCAGTAAAGGGATTTGTTATAAAATTGATATACTATTATAATTAGTTACCTGCAGACAGCTTAAGTTGTGTTTCAGAGATATGTTTTATGTTATAATTAACATTTTAGACAGACTGCATAAAGCCTTTAGTTTTTAAATTCCAGTTCCATTATAACGAACTCTCCGTACAGTATGGGTTTTCTGTTGTCAAATGTTTGTTTATTTCAACTATAAATTATTCTTACTTTACTTACTTAATCGCTCTTATGCTATCTTGGAGTGTAGAGCTTTGCCAGAGATCGCCAGACGTCTCTGTTAGCAGTTTGCATTCTGCTTTTGTTCCATTCCAGTCCTCTGCCAGTCAGGGACAGTCGGATGTTGTCTTCCCAGAGGACCCTGGGTCGCCGTGGAGGTCTGGCACCCTGATTCTTAGATTCACATGCCTGCCATGGTGGCCGATTTTCTTACATTCTGCATACATGTCTGAACAATCGTAACTGTGACTGATCCACTCGGGTTTGTAAGGTCTTTGTTGCAAGATCTTGACGTATTGTCTGATTGAGGACTTTGTCCCTTCTTGTCATTTGGACCATCTTTCTCAGATATCTCATACCTGAGGCCTGAAGCTGGCTTCTGTGAGCTGTTGTCATTGCCAATGACTCACACCCATAGGTCAGGACTGGTACATAGGTAGGGCGTTAGAGCAATCTTCGTCCTCTTGCCAATTTCTCTTTTGCTAAGAAATCTTGGTTTATGGCCTGGAAAAGTCTCTCAGCAGCTGCTTTTCGCGGAGCCAGCTGTGTCTTAATTTCTCCATTTCGATCTTTACTATAAATTATTCACTAAAATTATTATTCAGTTTCATAATGTTTGTGACTTGAAAAAATGTAATTATAATCGAAAACCCTGTAGTATCATGTCATTCAAGTTCCCTAACATCTGAAGATTGATATACAGTTTATAAATATCCATTTTAGATTTGTGATTTGCTTATAAACCTATTCATGAAAAGAGAATGTGATGGTGTCTTCTTGATCAACACTTGCAGCAGTGCATTGACTGGGGCAACCGTCTTTGACAACATTTGCCTGTATTCGGCGTGGATGAATTTCCGGCGCCTGTCAAGAACGAGTATTCTTCTTGTTTACATCTGTCAATGTGTTACCTTGCCTGTTCTGTTTCACGAAGCGCAATTGCAACACTCTATAAGCTTAACCCAATGTATGTACTTATAATATCAAGTGATAAAGGTACAATTTAAGAGTTTAACACCATGGCAGAAACCTTGGAACAATTGACTAGCTAGTCGTCATTTTCATTTTACATAGTTCAAAATTTAGATTTATAGCTGCCGTCTTTTACAAAGTTATATAAATTCAACAGAAAATTCTCTTACTGTTAAAAATCTAGATTTAAAACAGAGATATATCTTATAAATTACCTATAAAATAAAACATTTCTTGTCGTTACTTGAAAACGAAATACAGTTGTGATATTGGAGTACGCTGTGAAAGGTAATATAGCAACGTAAATCATGGCTGTGGTGGTGAATTTCTTAACCGAAAAACGTCACAGTTTTTTGCAATATTTACAAATTGTGCAGCCGTTGCGGGATCGCGCCAGAGAATCTCATAAAGTTTTGCTCGCTATCGTCTTTGTCACTAACCTGGTAGATAACCTGTTGCTAACATCTGTTGGTAAGTTTCTTTTTACAGTTATAAAAACCGACTAAGTGTGTTTTTGTATACTGTATAATCTATGATAATCTTAGTAAAAGGGGTGGGTTAAAACAACAAGAGCTTAAGATAATATAATAGTATATACCAAGTTAAATGAAGTAAACGACCTTCTTTTACGCCCGATGCGCATTAGGCAAATGGTATGATATTTTTACTGACAGACTGGCAGTCTTTGGGTGAAGTGGTCGTCATCATGTCATCTACTTTTACTTCCAAGAACATTTCGTAGAAGGAATTTTAAGGATGGGCCGCTCTTAATGCCCGGTTAATTAGTTCCTTTCTTAAAACTTAGTCTTGATGCGATTCAAACCATTAACCTTTGGCCCCACGTGTATGTCTGCTACCGCAGCGACATAAGCACAAAGAAGGACATAACGGTGGTGTATGGGTTTACGTATTTAATCCATTCCAGATCTCTGGACTTAAAATAAACAGGACCTATACCAACAATTGTCGGCTCTATGGCAAAGTCGATGCGAACGCTTCGTAATGCCCGGATGCAGGGTTCGATCCCAGCTGCATGCCATGCGCCTTGCGTTGGTTTCGACAGTGGTATGAAGAAAGCCGACCGTCCAGGGAGGAATAGCAAACTACTGGACGTAAATTTGCCTAGAAAAACCACACAACAGCCAGGGGCAGTTAGGGTTGGTTCTGCAACGTCCTGTAAAGGATACGCAACTAACCCTAATACCAAAACTGGGAGTCGCTGTGGCGTTGGCGGCTAGACGCCCGCCTGTGGATTGGAAGGTCGTTGGTTCGCGTCCTGATGGAGCCTGACTTTTTTATTTTCAAAAATGACTTTGACTCCCAGGTCGACACAACCGTGAGTGAGTACCAGGTGCAGCCATGGGAAGTAAAGGCCGCTGGTGTGATGCTGACCACATCACCCACCAAGTGCCGTTTGGTCTATAGAAATATATGCCTAGCCATATACTCCCAGTACACCTAAAGGCGTGGAAAAGGGAACCTTTACTTTATACAAAAAATTAACAAAATAAAGGGAGGCTGATTAATCAGCTCCAATGAAAACAACCCTATTGATGTTGACAAATAATACATTTGTAGGATGTATAAACTAATTTTATCACTCCCTTATACTAAAATATCTAATTAAAAAGAAAAGAAAAAAGAAGAGAAAATACAATTAAATGCAAATTTAATCTCACTTTACCCTGCCGAGAATATTCCAGTGCCTACTAGGGTGATGCTGAGACGGAAGGTGTTATTGTTTGGAAAACGAGTCTCCTTCAAATAACACTTCAGGCATCTCTCGCATGACAGCCCGAACCTGTAACGACTTGGCCAACAACAACGACTACTATTCTGCTACTACTACCACTGCTACTATAATGAGCAGATTAATCTTGCGAAAAGGCGGTTATTGTGACTTCCCCGACATGGACCCATAACGACAGCTTCATGCAGATTTCTGAGGTCAACAGTCAAAGTTCAACTACAAGTAGAAATAAAAGCCAGCAATGGGAACGCAGAAAAAAAAAAACCAATGTCGGATCGTCGGAAAACAAAACCAAATTGCCAATGTGATTGTCGCTGGTGCTATGTTGTTTGTGCGACACTCACATGGTACCTTATCACCCATTGGCCTCGTGACCGATTTGCAACTGTATTTAAATGAATCGCGACCACAACTAGGTTTCATCAACTATAGAATCAGTTATACCTAGCACTGATGTGAATGTGATTTAATAAAATTAATCGACTTAACTACTGCTTATCATTTTCCTCCACAGTGCCCATCATACCACAGTTTCTGTTAAACCTAGACAGGAAAGAATTTGACATTGGCAGGCACAATCTTACGGAAATTATAACGACAGACTCTAGGATTAAGCCATACCATGGTGATGAAAAGTATGACAACCTGACTAACGGTGGACAGTTCAACTACAGCCACGATGTCGCCCAGGGATTTTCAGTGTCCTCTGTAGCAATGAGTGAAAATGGACGAGTTGGTTGGTTGCTATCTTCTAAGGCGATAGTTCAGCTTTTCGCCAATCCTTTTGTTGGACCGTTGTGTAACAAGTATGAAACCTTGTATTTAACACATGTTGTCATTTATACTGGGTTAACCATCAAGGGCGCTGACACAAAAAGAATACTATGGGTGGAAAAAAAGAGGGGGTGGGTCAGTTCTTTTTTCTAGGATGGTGGCTCAAAGACCATAGCCTTGTTTGAATGCAAAATAATAATAATATTCTAATACAAACAGAAAAAATATCACATGCCTCTACTGTTTAAAATGACACCAGCTAACATCATAATACTTTAAAATGTATATTCCCCCTTCAATATATGGATAAATATTTTGTCGTCTAGTGTGTATTAAAATAAATAATTAAGCAAAATGTGTTTACAAAATCACATAAGTTATATAATCCTCTAAAAGGCTCTAAGTTACAATGTAAAACATTTTTTTTGGGGGGGGGGGGGGAGTTAAAATATATAAAAAGAAAATTGCATTAAAATATTAGTTAGTATTTTTTCTTGATCCCAGGGCGGCACGTAAGGCAAAGGCCACAGCTCTCTATATCTGGCGGTTGGTTGCCGCCTGAATTAGGTCTTGGATGTTTATTAGGCCCATGGCTGAGCCTTCCCCGATGACGGTTCAATGCAGGGTCTTCTTGGTCCTCCCCGTTTCCTTTTTACTTCCGGTATCCATATGAGGGCTTGATGGAGGAAATGGTCTTATCTATTCTGAGTGCATGGTCGATGTAGTTCCAGCGGTGCTTTCTTACTTTAGTTGGATACATTGTCTTGCTTGCTCTCTTGTCTTATTTGCGTAGTCGATCTGAGATATATCCAGTGGACATTAAAAATATATTAAAAGAAAATCTAAAGTATAAAAAAAAGAATCGTGGCCCCTACAATTCAGTAATATAGATTTGCAAATAATGATAATAATTATTGGTATAAAATTACCAGTAATACAATTAATAATATTAGGCGTGGTTACTATCAAATAAACTATCTACATTTAATTGTTGACATAAAAACAATGTATACTAAGCACAATTAGACATGGAGAGAGAGAGAGAGAGAGAGAGAGAGAGAGAGAGAGAGAGAGAGAGAGTGAGAGAGGGGGGAGATAGAGAGAGAAAGGCAGATTGAGAGAGAATAAATCTGCTACATCTGAAACAGTGTAATTTTTTTTCATGCAGTAATATTTATTTGTACACACACACACACACACACACATATACACACACACACATATATATATATATATATATATATATATATATATATATATATATATATATATATAGATATACATACTTATATATAATTGTTATCTTCTTTCCTTAGAGTGGGTTACCCATTAGTGCTACTAGTTGGTGCATCGTTATTCTTCATCTCTTCCATTGGTAAGTGGGTGACTTGCACGACTAACAGTTATTGTTAACAGACTGATTTTGTATTTTAACATTGTGTTTACGGCACTCGCGAGCACACACTCATACACAGGCACACATATACTGGCAGCAGGAATCGATTATCAATGCTTGACCAAACATAGAAGAATAATTATGTTAGCCGTTCTTGTGGCTTTTGGATAGAGATACGAGAATCGTACCGTGGAAGACATCGCCTTGTCCGCGTAATATTTTCAGAGTTATCGCCGGGCAAATACAATGCAGCCATCACCATGGACTGTAGATAAAAATCAGTTGCGTATCCTTTACAGGACGTTTCCTAAACAAACCCCAGCAATTTTTGTTTTGTTTTGGCTGTTGTGGTTTTTCTATGCAAATTAACATTCAGTAGTTTGCCATTGCCCCCTGAACGAGCGACTCTCGATACCACTGTGGAAACTAACGCAAAACGGTCTGCTGCCAAATCGTCTGCAGCCATGCTAGAACCCGACACACTTGGTATTACGAAGTGCGTTCACAATGCCTAAGCCACAGACAGTGACTGTAGATAATTGATTCGCTTGCAATTTTATTTGGCTGTGGAATGCTGCTAATAACATTTAAATGGACGGCGAGAGACAAAAGGAATTACCCCCACCCCCCCTTTTTTTAACCTCTTCCTTTACCCCTTTTTCTGTCGTATGTATTCAACGGGGTTTTCAATTTATTCTTGTGGCACACATGCTTGGGCGCTGTGATATAAAGGGCTTATTAGGATATTTAACACCTCCCGCCCTATAATTTTTCATTTAGATACGCTTTTGTGTATGTAGGAAAGGGGGGGGGGGGGGAATGGAAAATGGGGTGTTCTGACTAAATTTGTAAAGGGCCTAAGCTGATAACTCACTAGCTTAACCATGCACGTAAGTTCTCTTTTCAAAGCTTTTGTTAATACAAATCCTATTATTTCGTATCGTCAGTCGAAATGGTCTAAGTCGATTTTTTTTTCCAGTTCTATTTTCGTTCAAACCCGTAATTCAGATAGTACATAAAACACAAAAATGCAGTCTATATACGTATAATATTTGCACACAATATGAAAAAAATACAAAATATGTACTCTATTGTACGATAGATTCTATCCTACCTACCAATGCAGTTTTCTTTCTTTACGTAGTTTTTTTTTTTCTTTGTTTTTTCTTGTTTTGGTCGTAAATGTTGATGGTCCAAGTCGTATAGGTAGTAAGTCTAGGAAAAAGTGTTTATGTTTATATTTATTTATCATTCAGCGCGTTATTATTATAATCATAATTATTAATACTATTTTTTAACCAAACAAGGCTTTTGCCCTTTGATGCCCTTCCATTAAAACACGTGCAAGGGCGCTGAGGCTTCCAGATCCCTAATGTTTTCTTTGATCCGTGCCCCTGCTTATGAGATATTCTCGGGAACATGCACAACTGGTGTGGTGCTAAGGATGATCCTACGACAGGTCCAGCAAACCGGTAGGACATTTCTTTATTCAACTGATATAGCTCGAGAATTATGGAGGAAATGAAAGGGAAAACGTGATCATATCAGCGTTGTAAAGACAAAATCTACACCGATCGCACTGGAAAAAAGCAATGCAAATCAGAATAATCCCTGGTCAGCTATATAAATAGGCTTGAATGGTACTTGTCTGAAGCAAGTTACAGAATATAAATATCTAGGAAGTATATTCTCGCACTATGGGAGAATAGATTGGGAAATAAAAACAAAATGCCAACTAGACAGTCCACTAATATACCAACTAACCTATTAGTGCTGCAGGACACAGAGTCTACACCTACACTGTTACACAGGGCCCACCTATCTCTCAGCCGACCAGACCTGACCATCTGCTCATCCGACTTAGCTATCCCCAAGTCCTGGACGACAAAGGAAGTGACCACAAACCTATACTCACAACTGTAAGCACCACCGCTAAATTACGCTTCAAGCAGAGAACCCGTTGGAATTTCTGAAAAGCAAACTGGAAACTATTTCAGGAAACATCTGACTGCCTCCTGGAAAGAATTGACAACAGCTGTGTGGAAACTTTTTGTGAAGACATAACACAAGCAATCCTGAATGCAGCGTCGAAAGCCATCCCAAAGGGCAGCCGGAAGGCATATAAACCTTTTTGGAATCAAGAAATTCAAAATACTATATCTGAAAGGAATAAAGCAAGAATATTGCTCGAAACTGCACGTTCAACAGAAGCAAAGATCCAATACAATAAAGCATGTGCCAGAGTAAAGCTTGTAGTTAATAAGGCTAAAAGAGATAAATGAACAGAAACTTGCTCCAACTTAGACCTTAGACAGAATGGAAATAAAGCATGGACTTTAGTTAAAAACCTCTCCGGAGAAAGTAGAAGGGTGAACCCAAAACCAGTGACAGATGGGAGTAAGACAATCACTGAAGACAAGAAGAAAGCAGAACATTTCAATCATTATTTTGCCTCAGTTAACAGAGCAGGTAAGCTGTCAGAACTCAATAGAACACAGCTCTCTCAGTTGAAGAAACAAGAGAGAGCTCCAACAGCCAGCGACACCCTTTTTGAAAATGAATTTAGCATGGATGAATTAGAGCAAGCCCTGAAGAAATTAAAACCTAGAAAATCTCCAGGCCCAGATAAGATCCACAACGAAATGCTGCTACATCTTGGCCGGTCTGGGAGAGAAGTAGTTCTCAGGCTTATTAATAAAACTTGGAGGTCAAGCAAACTTCCAAAGGCATGGAGGAATGCATATATCGTCCCCATTCTTAAAACCAAAAAGCCTCCAAATGACCCCAAAAGCTACCGCCCGATATCCTTAACATCATGCTTGGGCAAAGTTGCAGAAAGAATGATAAACAGGCGCTTATATTGGTTCCTTGAGAGTTCTGGTGTTCTATGCCATGAACAGGCAGGCTTCAGAACCAACAGCTGCACACAAGACCAGCTGTTCAGACTGACACAAAGAATACATGATGGCTTCCAGAATAAGAAACACACAGTGGCAGTCTTTGTCGACCTCTAGCAGGCCTATGACAGAGTATGGAGAAAGGGTCTCCTGATGAAGATGATGAGCATAGTGCGATGACTTTCTTTTATCTTCTACTGGCTCGCCTCATCGCACGCTCGCTGCCATCTCACAAAACCGACATCACACGACGAGCAGAAAAATGGACGACTGGAAAAACAACACGATACTGTTCCAGTACTTTAATCTTCCACTCGCGGCTTACACAGCCGGCACATGAACTTGACAACTGTCCAGGCACACATTATAATGCAAGTGTCAAATATTACCTTCAAGCAGAAATCACAATCACACTAACATCTTGCACGAAACACAGCAGCTGTCCTGACAGACAAACTCAGATGACCCGCAGACATATTACTGGCCAGCTTTTTTCGCCAAGTTGGACTGGAACAAATTCACTCACAAAAACATCTGCTGAATCCACACATCATCCACCACTGTCCATGCACACTGTTCCTAGGTCCAAAACGAGACTCCTCACAAGCCTTTTCTTCGCTATTATATAGCCCTCTGATCTGTCCTGTTCTAGAATATTCTGGATAATTTCATTCTCACGAATTGTCGTGTCTGGCCCGTGATAATTCGCATTTAACACGAATCCTGCGAGTCAACCTTCACGGTTCACGTGAACAATCATGTTTCACATAAAACCTGACTTTCAGATGTCTCTCATGAAACTCAAGACATAAATCTCGTGTTATCTCAGTCAGTCAAACATTCGCCCCACATTTATTATTACTGACGTCATCTATCGGGCATAACTTACTGGGGAGAGAATGACTCACTACACATAGGAATACATGGCAGATTGTATAACTGGGTGAAATACTTCCTGATAAATAGAACAATCCAGACTAAGATGCACAACGCAATCTCTTCTAAAGAAGTCTTGGAGGAGGGCTTGCCACAAGGCTCATCATTGAGCTGTACACTATTCCTAATCTTTATCAATGACCTGCCAGAACAAATCAAGGCAGAAAAAGCCCTGTACGCTGATGACCTAACAATATGGCAGAGTCATGAAAATGTGGAAAGTGGAGCCCAAAGACTGAATGGAGACCTTAGAAGACTGCATGAGTACTGCCAAAGATGGAAACTCAAGGTTAACTGTGCAAAGACTGTCTACACAATCTTTACCAAAAGCCACCAAGTAGCTGGGAAGAATATTAACCTGAGGTTAGACAAACACCAAGTGATGAAAGAAGAGCATCCCACATACCTTGGAGTCACACTTGACCAGCAGCTCAGCCTCAAAAACCATATTGAAAACATCAGGAATAAGGCATTGAGGCGGTTACAGTTATTAAAGAGACTTGCAGGTGCATCATGGGGATCAGACAAGGAAACTCTGAGGGGCTTATATCTAGGATATGTTCGCTCTGTGATAGAGTACAACAACTCACTGCTTACAACTTGCTCCAAAACTAACCTAGAGACTCTTGACAGAGTACAAAATAATGCCCTCCGATTAATCTGCGGAGCTATGCAGTCTACACCAACTGCTGCATGTGAAATCCATACAAATGTGGAACCCCTCGTGTTGCGGAGAGAAAAGCCACTTTAGAAATTTATGAAAGATGCGTTAGGAAAAATCGTAACCATCCTAATAGACATCTTGTAGAAAACTGGGAATACAAACAAAGAATAAAGCACAAATCGGTTATCGGTTTTACACTGTGTTAATGAAATTCAGGACAGATACCACCTCACAGAAAGACGTCAAGGAATTCAGAATGTTGCAAGAAACCTACCATCACATGCTTGCTTTAAAGCTCCAGAAGTCCGAACTAAATTGGTAGGCGAGGAAACCAATCAGTTCGACCAAATCGCTCTTATGAACTCATCACTAAAGACCGTTGATTCTTACCCCCAAGAATGGATACATGTCTATACTGATGGATCAGCATTTAAAGCTACCATTAAAGCAGGTTACGGAATCTACATAGGTTATCCCGATGGATCTGTTGAAGAGATTTTTGATGCATGCGGGGAATTCTGTTCAAACTATAAAGCTGAAATGATTGCACTGGAAACAGCAGTATACCACCTAAAGACTGTAATGGATGTTTACCCTTCAAAGGTCCAAAATATTGTCATCTTCACAGATTCAATGTCTGCCCTTCAAGCTCTGGAGGGCAGTGAACGCTGCAGAACTGATATAGCCAAGATAATCCTGGATGCTGATCAGCTTATTACCTCATACAACATCAGAATAGTGATGCAGTGGATTCCAGGACACTCCGGCACACCAGGTAATGACAGAGCTGACAGATTGGCAAAGAAAGGAGCAACACAAGAACAACCACCTACAGCGACAACCCTCCAGACAGCAAAAACACTGATAAGAGCTATAAACAAAGAGACTTGGTTGAACAGATGGGCCATGGGAGACACTGGAAGAGAGGTTTATAGACATACGTCTGGCCCTGATCCTAATGACAGCATTAACCATCTAACAAGAAGGGACCAGGCCACCATCTTCAGACTTAGAATGCAACATACTCCACTCAATGGACACCTAAACAGAATACAGCCACAACACTCCCAGGAGTGCCAGCTATGTAACTACCCCTACGAAACTGTTGAACACCATCTCTTTGAGTGCCCAAAACTCAGTGAGACAAGAAGAACGCTACTCCCTCCGAGACCAGACAAGTGGAACACCTTGTACGGAGGAAAAGAACAGCTTGTGAAAACATGCAAATTCCACTACATGGCATTGGGCCAAAGGGCGAATGCTCATGCGCCGCTGGATCTATAACAACAACAACAACTAATATACCAATTGACATAGTTATTAAGACATTCAAGAAACATTATAAGGAGCATATTTATACCAACACTGTGCTGTCAGTGCCAGACTTTGACATTATTAGAAGCCAACTTATGTAAAATTAACATCTGTAAAATTAGATACCTGAGAAAAGCCACTAATTTTACCATTCGAGACAAAGTTAGAAATAACAACAGACAGACTGTGGGAACAATACAATGCAATATATTCATTAAGAAACATAAGATCAAAAAATTTGGTCATCTAGCAGGAATGAAACTAGAAAAAAAAAAACACTACCAAAGCTGGCGCTACACGTAAAAAGATTTGATATGAAAACAAGAGGTCGCCTTATGATTATTGATGACATTAAAGAGCTTCTACATCGACATAGGATGACAATAGCCACTGCAGATGAACAAGCAATGGATCACAAACTGTTCCTCCCAATGGTAGAAGTGGAAATTGACGATGCTGCTGATGATATTGTGCGGATCACATCACAGACAGAGTTTTGAAATATTTACTTAACGCCATTTACCTAATGTTAGCAAAGTATCCTTTACTAAATTTTAACAATTTAAAGCCAGATTTGGTTGATTTCTTCTTTCCAAGTGTTTGCCATTGCTGAAAGTTACATCCCGCTCTTCATTGCTCGATCCGTGCAGGGATTTGGTTCTGCCGCTGCAACTATTGCAGGTAATTATTTTAAATCATTCTCTCTATCTTTCGTTTATCCCCCGCCCCATTTTCTGTCTGTGTCTGTCTGTCCGTCTGTCTGTCACTCCCATACTCACTTCCACTGTCTCTGTGTCTGCTGTACCGGTCGTCAGTAGGAGACGACTGCTTGTGAAATAACTAATTGGTGTTGTATCCTCGCATTGATGCACCCTGGTAATTTCAGTTCAGGTATAATTTGTATAATACAACTGTCAAGAAAAGATAAAAAAACCGAACAAAAAGTATATTAGCAGGCTGCACAATATAACAAATACAAACAAAACGTAAACGTTGCGGCTATAGAGCCTACATCAGCACATACAAATCAAACAATACTACACAAAATCACTTAGATGGTATCTCGAAGCAGCCGGGTCGATGGTTTCTCAGCACAATGCCTACACGTGTCGGCTAAGCGAATAAATACCCCCTGTGGAGTACCAGAGACCATAGTTAGGGGTCAGAGATAAAACTGTGAGGGCAGTTTAATCCCTTAGGAGTTTAAATGAAACTTTGTTGGCAATTAAGTCCGGAGGGTGTTATACAACTGGCACTCCGTGCTGGAATCAGCAGCTAGGAAAACATAAGCCTCCCCCTCCCCCCGCATTTTTAAATGGGAGAAGGTAGCGGTGGGGAGGGGGGGACCATTAGCATCCTCCCCAAGAAAATGTTCAAGTGGACTAAGTAGCCTTAAACAAATATGTATATATCTTGAAGTGTTTTTTTTTGAAAATTATTGGTATCATCATTGTCAACTGCCTTCCCGGCTTGCGTGGGTCATCATGACTCTCCACAATCTGCGATAATCCAAAGTATGCACCAGTTTTACGTGTTGAAACCTCTTTATTCGTGCAAAGAAAAAGGTTGTAATTAATCGTCTTCATCTCATATCAAAACCAAAAAACAAAAACAAAAAATTGATGACTGTCTCTTTCTGATGATTCTGATACGTTGCTTTCGTGCCCATTAAAATTTTGGATATATTTCATGTCCCTCCAGATTTATTAGCCGCCGTGTTCTAGCATCTTGACGCTCGCCTGTGGATCAGAAGATCCTGGATTCGGGTCCTGACGAGGGACGAACTTTTTTCAAAAATGACCTTGGGTCCCAGGTCGACGTAGCCTTGAGTGGGTACCAGGTACAGTACTAGGAAGTAAAGGTGGCCGGTGTGAAGCTGACCACATCATCCACCTAGTGCGGTTTGGTTTATAAAATATAGGTCTAGCCCTATATACCCAATACGCCTGAAGGGAAAAGGGTTATTTGCTTTTTTTACTTACCAGTTATTATATTTTGTTTGCCCTTCAGCATATTATTATTTTTTGTTACGAACAAATATCCCCAACCCCCCACCCCTCCCGAAAAATGGTAAAAGGTCTGAGTCCTTACAAATAATTTATGTATAAGTATACTTGTCTGTGTACGTTAATTGGCCTTCAGTTTACACTATCTGGGTCATGTCTTTCACAGACATGAATATAACATGTTGAACATTATCTTTCTTGTAAACTAGAATGCAACATTTAGAACACCATACTATTTGCAGGGGAAATCCCCCCAGCCCCCCCACAAAAAGTAATAATTTTCATTAACACGAATTTGTCATCTGAAATGCCCTATTTTTGACAAGAAAACACAAAATCTAATCTAGAATGTCAGAACGACTGACTGACTGACTGACTTTCAATCCCACCAGGACTACACCAGATAAATTATTACCCGGTGACACAAAGTGCCACCGTTCAGTAGAAAGTCAGCCTTGAGCAAGACCCAGAAACCCTGTTTAACCCGTAGGTTATTTTTACGGCCGGTGACGACAGTCATGATGTAGTTTAAAAAAAAAAAGTTGCGTCCCATATTGGGAAGGATTAAAAATGTCACTTTCTCAAAGGAACAAACATATAATTCAGAATGTCACATCTCTCAATAAAACAAATGCACATGTGTGTATCATATCATCTTCATCATGTGGCAGGTCCTTTGCAGAACGTCGCTCTCATCACGGTCTGCCTAAAAGAAACTCGGTCTCTCGCCAGTTCCCCCCCCCCCCCCCCCCAGGTACTTTCATACTCAAGCGGTCACATGTATCCTGTGCTCATCTTCGTGTCGGTAGGGCCCTGCCCTTCCTTCCTGGTACCATGCCTTCTGCTATAATTTTTTCCAATCCGTCGTGGTGCTTAATGCGACTAAAATATCTCAGCTTCCGAGACAGGATGCTGTTTATTAGCCAATCTTCCTTGATGTTCAGATCTTTCAAGATGTCAGTATTTCTCCTCTTCTTTGTCCAAGATATTCTGATAATCTTTCTATAGTATTCCAGCTCAAAAGCTCCTAGTGTATCATACAGGAGGTCATATTTCTCACAGAAACAAGTATATAATATAGAACGTCATGCTTCTGAATGAAACAAATGCACATGTGTGTATCGTACAGGAAGTCATATTTCTGACAGAAAAAAAAATATCCTTAGGACTACCGTAAGTGAGTGCCGCTAAAACCCACTAGGGCCGTACAAAGAGCAATTATCACCCGGTGACACAAAGTGCCACATTCTGATGAGAATCATACGAGCGCAAGACCTAAAAACCCAGTTCTACCGTTAGGTTATATTGGGGCTCTCAACGACGGTCGGGGTGAGTATTTAAAAAAAAAAAAACATTTATCACATATTAGGGCGGACCATGTCTAATTTTAACAGAAACAAATGTATCATCTAGAAAGTCTTGCTTTCCGAAAACACAAATTTATAATAAACAATCTCACATTCCTCACATAATCAGATAAATAATATAAAATGTCACATTCTTAACTGAAGCAAATATTTAGATTGTTAAATTTTTCATAGAAACTAATTTATCATACTGAATATCATAAATTCTCAAAGAAAACAAGTGTACTCTAAAATGTCTCTTCCACGAGTAGATTCCGATTCATTTTACGATTTAAAAACAAAAGCTCATTCCTCCCTCCCCCCCCTTTTTTTTTTTTTACAAGAACGTCGTAAATTGGCGACTAATTAAAGTTTTGCTGAAATAGGATGAGCTAAGCCGAAAGATGCAGATTTTGCAGGCTAGCTGTAAACCACAAGACAACGTGCCAACCACCATTTTAAGGGCGAATGTAGAAGAAATAGAACAAGTAGAATGCCATGTTTCTCATACCTAAATGTTCTGGAATATTCTGATTGTTCTAGGAATGAGTATTGTAGCTCAGAGCTACCCTGACGACTGTGGACGAAGTCGTGCAATGGGTATAGCAATGGGAGGCGCCGCCTTTGGTATTCTGGGTAAGTGCTGTACGTTTTTTTTTTTTTTAATCAGCTCAGAAAATGGGACTATGAATCAGTCAAGATAGGACAGAATACATGATAATAACTAAACAGTGAAAGGATATAAACTCCGGCCACATACTAGTCGATAATATGAAAATCAAACGAACGGAAACATGTAACTACTTGGGTGCAAACTTCAACTGCTCCAACATGCTGTGAGAAGAAATAAAATCTAGAATACAATCTGGAAATAAAGTATACTAAGCCCTTTAACATCTGCTAAAGTCAAAGTGTCTGTCTCGCAAAACCAGGATCAAAATATATGAAACTTTGATTAGACCAGTCGTGTTATATGGCTCTGAAACTTGGAACAAAAAGAGATGAAGCCTTATTACTGGTTTTCGAAAACATAGTCTTACGACAAATCTTTTAACCCATCAAAGATGCAAAAAGCGGTGAATGGAGAGTGAGAAGCAACAACATAATGAGAGCTAATAGGCTTAAATGGTTCTAGGCATATTGAAAGAATGTCAGATGACAGAGAAGTAAAAACTGTTTACACCAAGGAGATGAACAGTCGTAGACCACGAGGCAGACCAAGAAGACGATGGAGATTTAATATCCAGACAGACCTGCAAACACTTGGTGTCACCAACAGGAAAGAGAGGGCCAACGAGAGAGATGATATCTGCAGCAATGAACCTCAAGGGCTCGAAATGCTGAAAAAGAAAAAGAAGAAGACTACGGTTTTGTGCACATGTTTCTAGGCATCATTTTTTGAGGACTTTTGAAAGACACTTTTTGAGTGTTGAATAAAGAATCGACATCATAGCACTCGGGACACTCCCATAAGCTACCTGTCCCCATTTTCAGCAGCAAGCGAAGAGTTCAAATTCCGAAGGTATCAGTAACTGTCTGATTGTACGTCCGTCTCGCCTTTCGTTTGACTGTTGAGCTTAGGCCAGTTCCCTCCCCCCACCCCTACGTAACTCCCCGTAGCGTCATTCTCCTCAGACCATAATGATCTATTTGTGCCTCCGCACTGTTCACTCGCCCCCAAATGGGCCTCACAGTGGCAAGCTTGTGATACATCAGTACACCACCATGTGGTGCAGAACCGGCCAATCTATCTGGCAGATCGTTTCCCAACACACCGGCATCACCTGGAGAAACTATCCAAAAAACGCTAACTACCCGGGACTTCTAAAGCAATGCTTGCTACTCTCCGCGAAGCATGACAGACTGTACCTTACTCAACATTCTCTGTGAGTCAGTAACAATTACAACATGTGTGTACAGCTGATTCTCTATCCAGCAGAAGGCAGACACATTGTGATAAGTACAGACATTTTTTTAGACACATTGTGTTGAGTACAGACATTTTTTAGACACATTGTGGTGAGTACAGACATTTGTAGACACATTGTGGTGATCATCCATATTTTTAGACACATTGTGGTGATCATCGACATTTCTAGACACTTTGTGGTAAGTACAGCCATTTTTAGACACATTGTGGTGAGTTCTGCAATTTTTAGACACATTGTGGTGAGTACAGACATTTTTAGACACATTGTGGTGAGTATCGACATTTTTAGACACATTGTGGTGAGTACATACATTTTTAGACACATTGTGGTGAGTACGGTCATTTTTATTTTAGACACATTGTGGTGAGTACTGACATTTGTAGACACATTGTGGTGAGTAGCGACATTTCTAAACACATTGTGGTGAGTACCGACATTTCTAGACATATTTTGGTGAGTACCGACATTTGTAGACACACTGTGGTGAGTACCGACATTTTTAGACACACTGTGGCGAGTACCGACATTTCTAGACACATTGTAGTGAGTACCGACATTTTTAGACACAGTGTGGTGAGTACCGACTTTATTGTTGTTGAAATTATGGTTAGTATCGACATTTTTAGACACATTTGATGAGTACCTATATTTTTAAAGTGTGACGTGACGTGGGTGGATTTAATGTTTTATACGTTGAGTAGGGATTCTCCTCTCAACACATTCCCTCCACCAGATTAACTGACTAATATCCGAGCTATGTTGCTCTCTGACAAAGTCCTGGATATCCAAGAAAACAGCCATATTGGCTGGTTAATTACTTTAACATTAGCTGCACTTGGTACCCACAGGAGAAGGAAATGAGTTTTAGATGTCTACATCATTATATTGAATGAATTATTAGACATGGCAAATGACTCCTCCGTCCAATCTTCTCCCGGTATGAATAATTAAAGAATTATTATTATGATTTGAGCGCCCACCAAATGTAATTCTATCTATCGGTTTAGTTAAACAGGTAAGACTGAATACACTCGGAATTTAACAAATGATGTAGTATAAAACTTGACATAGCTTTATTTTCTAACATTCAGTTAAATGATATTTCCAGTTTGTTGTGTTTACACAAACAGTGACTGGCTAAAGTTATGATAGTGGTGAGATGCTTCAGCGAGAAAACAGCACCTGGGATTAGAGTGGTGTGATGAAGGTGATAAATTATGAACAATGTATGACATAATTTTTATCATAGAACCTCTGACAGCCGTGAGCACTGTCAAGCTCTTCCTCCTCTTCCAGCTTCTTTCCCGCCTGTTTTCTGCTTGTTTCAGCTTAGTCTCCACTTCATTCTCCACCTCGTCCCCAGCTGGCCGAGTCTAGCACAATGTAGTCTCGTTAATGGAGTGATCGTCACATGGGCGCTGGGAACATTCCATCAATCGCCAAACCAGAATCAGACCGTAAGAATTACCGCTACGTCGATCTGTGTTTGTTGCTCGAAGGCTGCGATGTGAATGAAGTTTTAGAGCTAGTAGTAAAACCTATCTATCTGTCTCAAAGGTTAAACTCCTCCCCCTTCTAGGTTCTACCCAACCCTCCAGGAGATGACCTAAGCCACGCCTCTGAAGTATCTTGCAGATCAAATTAGCTAACAAGTGGTCTGTCATCAAGGTGAACGGCCTTGACCAATGTTTGGACATCTTAATTAGCAAACACCTGTTCTCCTGAGAATTCCACTGACATGTGTGAAACTTCAGCCTCTTGACGCCGTCAGGTCTACCAGTTCACTTAATTCTCCTGATCTGCTCTGTTCAAAAGAGCCCCGCTCAGTCTGTGTTATATAACCTTTATGACACTAAGGTTCAGGTGTGATAATTAGTTCCCCGTTTGCTGGTCCTGACAGACTGTGGTCAGGAGATTACATTCTGACACTGGCACGAGAAAGGAATTTCTAGCTCCGGTGTAAAGTTAGGTAATATTACACAAGGTTGGGTCGCTTTGTCTGGACTAAGGACTGGAAACATTTAAATCAATTCTGTTTAAAGTAATATTTGGGTAAAGGGCAGAGTAAATATAATTCTGTCTCTTTAGAACCAGAAGAACTTATTGCAAGTACTAACTTCTGGAACCACTGATGTCGTCTCGCATTGTGGTGAGTACATACATTTTTTGGGCACATTGTGGTGAGTTCTGACATTTGTAGACACATTGTGGTGAGTAGCGACAATTCTAAACACATTGTGGTGAGTACCGACATTTCTAGACACATTTTGGTGATTACCGACATTTGTAGACAAACTGTGGTGAGTACCGACATTTTTAGACACACTGTGGTGAGTACCGACATTTCTAGACACATTGTGGTGAGTACCGACATTTTTAGACACAGAGTACTGACTTTATTGTTGTTGAAATTATGGTAAGTATCGACATTTTTAGACACATTTGATGAGTACCTATATTTTTAAAGACACATTGTGGTGAGTACCTAAATTGTTTACGCACATTGTGGTGAGTACCTACATTTTTGATACACATTGTGGTGAGCACCTGCATTTAATTTTAGACACATTGTGGTGAGTACCCAAATTTTTTTAGACACGTTGTGATCAGTACAGACATTTTTCTAGACACATTGTGATGAGTACAGACACTTTTAGATACATTGTGGTAAGTACATACATTTTTCTTGACACATTGTGGTGAGTACAGACATTTTTTCTAGACACATTATGGTGAGTACCGACATTTTTTGAGACACATTGTGGTGAGTACAGACATTTTTTCTAGACACATTATGGTGAGTACAGACATTTTTTTCTAGACACATTGTGGTGAGTACCCAAATTTTTTTAGACACGTTGTGATCAGTACAGACATTTTTCTAGACACATTGTGATGAGTACAGACACTTTTAGACACATTGTGGTGAGTATATACATTTTTCTTGACACATTGTGGTGAGTACAGACATTTTTTCTAGACACATTATGGTGAGTACAGACATTTTTTTCTAGACACATTGTGGTGAGTACCGACATTTTTTGAGACACATTGTGGTGAGTACAGACATTTTTCTAGACACATTGTGATAAGTACATACATTTTTAGACACATTGTGGTGAGTGCAGACATTTTTTCTAGACACATTTCTCTCTCTCTCTCTCT